AACAAATAACTGGCTTTATTCCAATTTAGCATTTGGCTTAAAATTGTAGCCATTTACTGTACAAGCATACAATTTATTTCAGATGCCAATTAATGAATAGAAAGACTGATTCCTTGTGTTCCTCCGTGGTCACGCATATTGAAACGAGAAGATAGGCATGTGCATGGCCCAACACAAATTATGAATATTTACATTATTTCAGTTTTGTTACCAAACGAAGACCATTAAACAAGTAATCAAGTCATATCTATGGGAATTTGTTGGAGATATTTTGAGAATGGGAACTCTTCTTCCGTATCCTGTGGAATTGTAAAAAGTTAAACAAGTACAAGATCATATTGTGATGGGTTAAAGGGACCTAAAAATAGCCTCTCCAATCCTGAGTCTATCATTCGCCAGGAAAGAAGCCAGCAGCTCCTCAGCCCACTTGCCTTGACAAAAGTTTCTGTTAGACCAAGTGAAGAGTCTTTCAGGCCCTGTATAAAATTAGGAAGGAGTTGTGTTTGAAAGGTTCCAGCCTGAGTGTCTTTGTCTTGTCCTACACCCCCAAATACAGTTCTATTAAACTTAATCAGAGCATTCTGGATATTCATTATTGCTGCAATGTTTCATTTTCTTCGTATGTAAAGTTCTTAAGGTTGTTTTTTAACTTTTTCAAATATTATTTATTTGTATTACTGTAGTGCCTATGGGCCAGAGTCATAGACCAGGACCCCATTGTACTAGGTACTGTACAAATACAGAACAAAAAGACAGCCACTGCCTCAAGGGATTTATAATCTGATAGACAACAGGTGGATATAGACAGATGAGGGAGTACAAGTAAACAATGAAATAATATTGGTCATGATAGGCACATGAGCAGCCTAATCGTTGTAAAGTTTTTTGTAGGCTTCGTGGCAAAGGAGAGATTTGAAGGTGGGTAATCAAGTCAGTAGCTTTGTAGATGTTTATAGGGAGTGCCTTCCAAGCCTATGGGTCAGCATGGGAGAAAGCAATGAAGGTGTGTTACAAAATTGAACAAGTGGGCAGTGGAGGCTGGCATCACAGGTCAATAGGAGATGAGTGTCAACAGCAAAATAGTGAATGAGAGATGATTGATAGGGTGGGAATTGGCTGAATGGCCTTGGAAGTGAATATGAGCAGCTTGTTGTAGAAATGGGGGGCAAGTAGAGGGATTCAAAGAGGGATAATGCGATCAAAGCGATGCCCTAGGAAAACGATATTTGCAATAGTGTTCTGACTGGATATGGGTGGGGCAAGTTTGCATTTGTCAAGGCTAGAGAGAAGGTGTGGATAAAGTAAATAAGGAAGTGTTATTTACTCCTCACAACACAAGAACTAGGGGTCACCAAATGAAATTAATAGGCAACAGGTTTAAAACAAACAGAAGGAAGTATTTCTTCACACAATGCAGTCAGTCAGTTTGTGGAACTCTTTGTCAAAGGATGTTATGAAGGTCAAGACTATAACAGTTCAAAAAAGAACTAGATAAATTCATGGAGCATAGGTGCATCAATGGCTATTAGCCAGGATGGGGAGAGATGGTGTCCCTAGCCTCTGCTTTCCAGAAATGGATGACGGGATGGATCACTTGATGATTATCTGTTCTGTTTATTCCCTCTGAAGCACCTCGCATGGGCCACTGTTGGAAGATGGGATACTGGGTTAGAATGACCTTTGGTCTGACCCAATATGGTCATTCTTATGTTAAGGATGTTGCAGTAACGGAGATGCAAGATAAAGAGCTAATTTTGTTCCCTCCATCAAACTTCTGTTACAACCTTTGGTTGGAAGAATTATTATTTTTTAATCCTATCATTTGGTGGTGTAACAGTTATGGCTTTTTTTTGGCAAAACTTGCAGTTGGGAAAGGAGCTCAGATAAAGTATATAAATATGAGAATGTACTGCTAAAAGTATTGAGGTTCTATAACATTGTTCTAGTTATCAAACTTATTACAGTGCCTTTTTATTAGTTTTTCTTAAATAGGAATGCCATTTATTTTAAGTTGTACAAATTGTTCATCACATATGGGGATTCCTAATATGTCATTGTATGCCAATTTAGCATCGTAAAGAAGTAAATCGTTACATATACTTTCAATGAATTATGAGAGCAAGGTTACAAGCTTACCTTTCCATGCAGGAAGGTATTTAAGCACATGCCAACGTTAAAGTTAAGCATATTTTTACATATCTTGCTCATTTGGAGCATTTGCAATTGAGACCTAAAATAAGAATGAAATTCTGATTGAATGCATTTCACTTCTATTTTTCCCTGAAGTAGCTTTTTCTTTCTTTAATCTAATATGTGGGTCACTGTACTAAAATAACATACTTTATGTAGATGCATGGCTTCCATTTATGTCTACTCAGTTAAATTGAACAATAGTACAGGCCTGCACAATCCAGACTAAAACTATTTGTCTCATACTGAAATCTGCTGACTGAAAGTATTGTCTTTGATTTTCTGCTTTAAGAAAATGAAAATAAATTAGAAAAAAATGTTTTGTACTCTGAGTCATAGGTAGGGCTAACTTTTTTTTTTTTTTTTTAACTTGTAACAAATTATTTAGGTTTAGTGCAATGTAAACATAAGACTGGCAAGGACCTCCTGGGTCATTGAGTCCAGTCTCTTGCTGTTGCCGTCAGCCCTGTCATATAATCCAATTGATAAATTTATCCAGATCAATCTTAAAATTATAGTTAGGTTGTTTGCTCCCACCACTCTCCTCTTATGATTAGAAACCTTCTAATTTCCAACCTAAATGTATTCATGGACAGTTTATGCCCATTTGTTCTTGTGCCAACATTGTCCTTTACTTTAAATAGCTCTTCTCCCTCCCTGATGTTTTATCCCTTGCCCCCCAATGCATTTATAGAGAGCAAGCTTATCCCCCCCTCATCCTTCATTTTGCAAGGCTAAATAAGCCAAGGTCTTTCCTCTAGTAGGATAGGCTCTGCAGTCGTCTGGTCATCCTAATATCCCTTCTCTGCATCTGTTTCAGTTTGAATTCATCTTTCTGGTTACATGGGTAACCAGAATTTTACACAGTATTCCAGATGAGGTCTTATCAGTGCCTTGTGCAGCAATATAAATACTTCTCTAGCTCTACTGGAAATGCCTCACCAGATATATCCTAGGATCGCATTTGCCTTTTTTTACAGCCACATCACATTGGTAGCTCAGTCATCCTGTGATCAACAAATGCACCTAGGTCTGTCTTTCTCCTGTCATTTCCAAAGATAAGCTCCAGCTTATCGCAGAAATTCGTATATGTCTAGGAACAAAGAATTTATGCCATACTTACAAGGTGGAGGACTCTATTCTGGTAATCAGTGATTCTGAAAAAGATTTGGGGGTGGATAATCTCCTGAACATGAGCTCCGAGTGTGCTTTGGCCAAAAGGGCTGATATGATCCTGGGACGCATAAACAGGAATCTCGAGTAAGAGTAGAGATGTTATTTTTATCTATATGTTTGGCACTGATGTGACTGCTGCTGGAATACTGTATCCAGTACTTGTTTCCACAGTTCAAGAAGCAAGTCAATAAACTGGAGATAGTTCAGAGGAGAGCCATGAAAACGATGGAAGGATTTATAAAACATGATACTCAGTTTAGCTTAACAAAGACTTGATTAGTCTATAAGTACCTACATGGGGAACAAGTATTTGATAATGGGCTCTAGCAAAGAAAGGTATAACATGTTCTAATGGCTGGAAGATGAAGCTAGACAAATTCAGACAGGAAATAAGGTGTAAATTTTTAAATGAAGATAGATAATCATTGGAACAATTTACCAAGGGTCATGATGGATTCTCCATCACTGGCAACTTTTAAATCAAGATTGGATGTTTTTCTCAAAGATCTACTATAGGAATTATTTTGGGAACGCTCTATAGCGTGTTATACAGGAGATCAGACTAGATGATCACAATGGTCCCTTCTGGCCTTGGAATCTCTGAAAGTCATACAATTCTTCCTGTATAATATTCCAATGCTTTTCTGTATTGACAATGACTCCCAACTTTGTCCTCAGGAAATTTCCTTAGTACACTAAGGCAAATATTAATTTAGATTGTTTCCAAAAACAGTCCTTGAGGAGCTCCACTAGTAACCTCTCTCCAGCCTGATAGTTCTTTCAACATAACCCAATAGTGGGCAACCTGTGGCCCGCCGCTTTCCGCAGCTCCCATTGGCTGGTAACGGCGAACTGCAGCCACTGGTATCTGCAGGGGGCCATGCCTGTGCACAGTCAATGTCAGCAAAATGTCTCGTGGCCCTCAATCAGATTACCCTGATCGCAGGTTGCCCACCACTGGCATAACCTATTGTCTTCTTCCCTTTAGCCAGTTCCTTACCCACCTAACAATTATTTTATTAATTTCCTTTTTTTTTCCATTTTAACTAATCTCCATATCAAATTTCTTACTGAAGTCCAGATTAGATTCATTGCATTTCCTTTGTCTAAAGAACTCAGTTATTTTTTCAAAGAAAGTTATTGGGCTAGTTTGGCATGATCTATCTCTGGTATACCCATCTGCTATTTTACTGACTTTTCTGGGTTTTTTCCATGTCTTTAATTATTCTTGTCTTTTAAAATAAATTTTTTAAGAGTATTTAACTTTGATTTAAAGGTGTATACCTTTTTAGATTCAAAAGGATTTAGTTGCCAATATAAGCATCCCAATTATAACACTTTTTGCTCTTGGAATCAGCTATTTCTATGCCATGACATCTGCATGACAAGCTATATCCATACCAGGATAGTTGTCTGGAAAGCCATCTAAATAAACCGTAATGCATTCTTAACGCAAGCTTTTTGAACACCACCAATGTGTGGAATTAACTTGAAGCTAATGCTTACCTCTGCGATTATACTTCGTTTCTTCATTAATTTAAGGTTTGAAATTTTTCAGTATGGTCATGTATTTTCATAGTGAAACAATATGTATTGGTCTGAAATAATGAATCTTGTGGAACTTTCTTGTTTAGGATTTGGCCCTTGTTGCCCCTGAAGCTCCTTCAGAACAAGCCAGAAGAGTTTTTCAAACGTATGACCCAGAAGGTAAGGCTGCCTTTTTTTTTTTAAGTTTTGGGTTGAAATCTTTATATTAACTTTCTGGAAAAATAGGGCAACAGTTTTACAATACATGCAAAACATTGCACCTCCAGTAGTACAGTCCCCTGCATTGTAAGGCACACAGCTCATGATGAGGCTTAATACTGATTCACAGGGTATGTGTACACTACTGCTGGAAGGTGTAAATTCCAGCTTGGGAGACATACCTGCACTATCTCTGATTTAGTGAGCTAGAGTGCTATAAATCATACATGGCTGCCCTTTGTATGATCTCATCCAAGACCATAGGTATGTACTTGGCACAGCCAGCCCCTCCCGTTGCTTGCACTGCCATGGCTACACTGCTATTTTTAATGAGCTAGCACAATCTGAGCTAGTTACAGATATGTCTCCTCAGGCTGGAATTCACATCTTCCAGCTCTTGTGTAGACGGACATACCCATAGGGAAGTGTGCTACCTCCTGATTAACCGACAAATCACAAAGTGTTGCTGTTTATCAACCTAGTAATAAAATGGACAAGCCTCTTGAAAACTACAGAGCATGAGGAAGTCAAATATAGCAATAGTAGGAAGTAGAGTTCTTACTGTAAACTTTTCAACACTGGGGACTTTGTATGTTTCTTTGTATGTGACCCATCACTTTCCCTAAGCTTACATTTTCAAAAAATGTAAGACTTTCATACCTGATCCATCATGTTCTGAGTGGTATGACAAGAACTGAAAGATTCCTTAGTTTCATTTTAGAAATCAGAAGTTGCCTGATATTCACATTTTATTTTAATTAGAAACAAGTTTAGAAACATTCTCTCACCATTTTAAGGTGGCATGATATGTCTATTAGTAAAAAATTGTTTTAAGTTTAATAAGGTTCACATTTTCAAATGTTTTAGAAAAATGGCATTTTTAAGACCAGTAGGCCTGCAGTTTTTTAATTGGTGAAATATGTATGGAAATCATGAGTTCTAAGACATCATCTTGTAACTTTACAGTGCACTCTCAAATTCTAAGATGTGGGTTTGATTACCAGTATTTTGGGTAAAATCCATAATCTTGAAGTGTTTTCAGTTTATTTTCCCCTAATGAGAAAATTTGTCCCATTTGTAGATAATGGATTTATACCTGATACCCTTCTAGAAGATGTAATGAAGGCTTTGGACCTTGTATCAGATCCTGAATAGTAAGTATAATTTGTGTAGCTAAATTTTCATTTAACAGATTAGTTATGTGTTGGTTTTATCTTGAATTGTTAGTAAAGGTCTGTCTCCTCTTATGCGGGGGTTCCGTTCCGCGGTTAGCGCGTAAAGCGAAAACCGCGTATAGCCAAAATCCCATTGAGTTCAATGGCGGGCGAAATCGCTCACACTACAGGTATAGTATTAAAACTGTTGGTTTTTCTCTTTTTTTTGTTTTGTTTTGTTTTTGTTTTTGCCGACTGCGTAAAGTTGAAATCGCGCATGTTAAATGCACGTAAGATGTGACAGACCTGTACATCTAATTCTGTGTAGTGTCCTACGGACAATGTCTCAAAATATTGAGTCAATTGTAAATGAAAGAAAACGGGCCTAAAGATAAGATTCAAAAATTATTTTTGATTTAGAAAGAAGTCTTTCGTAGCTCCCAGTTATTGGCTATTTGTGACCCACGTTTCTGTAAGTGCATGTATTTGCCTATGACAACCCAATACTGCAAGGTGAATCTGTGTGCTAGAAAAAACAAGGTCTCTCAACAGCAGACCACCATGTTACAGGAAGATTTAATACCATCCTAGAGCTCAAAGTTCAAACTGCATTTCAGATTGATTGATTGTGTTTCTGTACGGTTGCATTTTATGTAGTTGTACTTAGCTCTATGTGAAACATATTTTCCCTTCCAGAGGGGAACAGAATTTTGCAAATTCTAGGGAAAGAGCCTGATTTGGGAGGCTTGGAAAGGCTGCTTTTGTTCTACTGCCTCTAAAAAATCTGCTTTGGAAAAGGGAAAAATCCTCCTTCCAAATGCAGCTCTTTCAGAAATGGCTGCTTGGGTTTTAGATATTTGTGGCATAATCATGACCTCTTATTGCACATGGAACATCAGGTGTTGAATGGTCAAGAATCTTTCACAAGAAAGGCATACTTTATTAAAAGGATTCCTTGCTGCACATCGAGCTGTGGAATTTCTCTGTATCCATAGTCTGCAATATTTTCTCTGTTAAAGCAATAGTATTATAGAGTAGGTTCTGACCTATGTAGGTTCACCACATTTTTCAGTGGACATCTAAGTCTTTGTGTTTAGGGTCTCCAATCCATGAAATATGGAACAAACTTAAATAACGTAAAGAGTATTTGGATTCTTAATGCCTTGTATGTTGTCATGCTGTTTTCTTTAAGATAAAAATCAAACGTGGTGGTTGGAAATGTGGTGTTCTTCAAAGCAAATAACATCTAAATTATGTATAAAATAAAATGTAGAAGCTTATAGGAAATAAAATATATATATATATAGTTTCCTATAAGCTTCTACATCAGGCTGAGATCTCTTCAGATCTCAAAACCTAACCATCCTCAGACCTGCTCAGTATTTGGGAGGTGTGCAAGGAAAACCATTTTTGGTCGGATAGTTATGCTGGTGACTCAGTAGATGGAATTATTCTATTTCAGTTCTGAACGAATTCCTGCAACATGGCATTGAGGGCACTATTGCTGAAGGTGGCATCTTTAATTAGAGATGAAATGAGATTCTGCTAATTTGTGATTACTAAAGATCCTATGATACTCTTTAGAAGATTAACCCTGTTTAGAATTTAGTTGTTTAGCCCTGTTTAGAATTTGATGGTTACATTTTCCCTAACTTCCATCTATATTTTCAGTTGGTTAATGTTTACTTTCTACATAAGAACGGCCAGTCTGGAATCAGACCAATGGTCTATGTAGCCCAGTATCCTGTCTTCTGACAGTGGCTAATGCCAGATGCTTCAAAAGGAATGAACAGAACAGGGCAATTATCAAGTGATCCATTCCCTGTCATCCAGTCCCAGCATATGGTAGTCAGAGGCATAGGGACACCAAGAGCATGGGGTTGCATCCCTGACCATCTTAACTAATTATTATTTTAATCCTGTTACAGTTTTGTTCTTCACAACATCCCCTGGTAATAAGTTCCACAGGTTGACTGCATTATGTGAAGAAGTACTTTCTTTTGTTTGTTTTAAACCTGCTGCCTATTAATTTTTTTGGGTGACTCCTAGATCTTGTGTTAGGTGAAGGGGTAAATAACACATTCACATTGTCCATATCATTCATGAATTTATAGACCGCTATAATATCCCCTTTCAGTAGTCTCTCTTCTGAATAGTCCCAGTCTTTATAATCTCTCCTCATATGGAAGCTGTTCCATACCCCTAAATATTTTTGTTGCCCTTCTCTGTACCTTTTTCCGTATCTAAAATCTCATTTGAAATGGGGTGACCAGACCTGCCCACAATATTCAAAGTGTGGGCACACCATGGATTTATATACTGGCATTACGATATTTATATTTTTTTTATATATCCGGTTCCTAACATTCTCAGAGCTTATTTGACTTCTTCCGCACATTGAGCAGATGTTTTCAGAGAACTATCCACAATGACTCCAAGATCTTTCTTGAGTGATAACAGCTAATTTAGACCTCAACATTTTGTATATACAGTTGGGATTATGCTTTCCAATGTGCATTATTTTGCATTTATCAACACTAAATTTCAGCTGCCATTTTGTTGCCCAGTCACCCAGTTTTGTGAGATCCCTCTGTAACTCTTCACAGTCAGCTTTGGACTTAATTATCTTGAGTAATTTTGTATCATTTGCAACCTTTGCCACCTCACTGTTTATCCCTTTTTGCAGATCATTTATGAATATGTTGAACAGCACAGATCCCAGTACTGATCCTTGGGAGATACTGCTATTTACCTTTCTCTGTTCTGAAAACTGACCATTTATGCTTATGCTTTGTTTCCTATCTTTTAACCAGTTACTGATCCATGGGAGGACTATCTTTTATCCCATGACTGCTTAAAATTAGGCTTCAAACTTAGTGTGGCTGAGAGGTTTTTAAACAGTTGCTGTATTATTTTCTAGAGATGTATTTCAGTTAGTAAAGGGGTTTCTCTATATTCATTAGGTTAATTGAAGAGCATTTGAAACGTGGTATACACTTGTGGGCTTATCTACAAAGTGAAATAATGCACCTTACAGGTACTAATGTGTTGCGTGTTGATTGATCCGTGTACCCTGCTGCATTTTACCATAGCTCTGTCTGAAACAGTACTATGTTAAAGTGAGCTGTGGAAACAGTAGTGTGCACCAGCGGGCTCTACATGGACCAGTTTAATGCACAATATGTTACTGCGCGTTAGAAATCACACCCTCACACTGCATGTTGCTGCTCCATGTAAACAAGCCCTAAATATGCCTCATGTGCATTCTGTCCACTAATCCATCATGCCTAGAACCTGTTCTAACATTCCAAAACTGAGCAGTTTTCAGACTACTTTGAAAAAAAATAATTAAAATGTTAAACACACCAAAGGTGTGGTTTGCTAGCAGAATGGTAAATATTCTGTCATGGACCAGTGACCAGTTTAAAATTGATGTTAAAATTCTGCTTGATTTACAGGAGAGCTAGTTTAGATACTGTGTGAATTCTAAAATTTCTCATTCAGAAGCCTATCCTGGTAAACTTTTAGAACTAGACTGAGAGCTATAAAAAATATGAATACTTTTTAAAGCTCTGCTAAATAGTGTCTGTAAAATATATTGCATAAATAGAAATGTAAATGTTTTATCAACACTCATTTAGAACGGCTTGCAAAAATCCCACATTACTGCCAATAAAGCTTTTATACTACTCCATGTATATTCTCATTTTCTCTGTTTTTGTATGTATAATATCAAAATAAATGTTAAGTGGTTTGGGCTACTTTAATATGAAAGGCACTATGTAAATATACTATGATAAACATGGGACCTTAGTTCAATTAAATTTATTCTTATCAACTTAATTTTAAAAATCTCTGAAATGTATTCATTGGTGGCTTTTCAAATCCCTATTTAAAAACAGGTTGTTTGGTCAGAGGTCTTCAAAGGATGACTGGTTTGTGTGTTTAAGATGAGGAATGCTTGCAGAATACAGTAAAATGTCTTCTGGGCTAAAGTGTAGGTTTTAGTCTGCCTGACTTTCAACTGACTTTACCTAATAAGGCAATCTTTCAAAATTATAACTACTTCAATTTTGAATAACAGATTACTTTAGTTTAAAAATAACTGCATTTTCTCAAATCTGGTGCCGTTCTGGTGCATTTGTCATTTAAGAGTCTAAATCAAAAAACCTCAATATATTTGGCAGTCAGAATGTTGTAGTACCACATAACATAGTCATGCAAGAATAAAAATGTGCAACTCATATTTTTGTATCCAATGTTCTTGTTTTAGTGTAAATCTCATGAAGACCAAATTAGACCCAGAAGGACTAGGAATCATATTACTGGGTCCCTTTCTGCAAGAATTTTTCCCTGAGCAGGTAACGTAGATGTTTTTTTCTACTACTTATGCCATAGAACATTTTGTATTTCACTAGATAGGATTCTTCAGTGATGCATTAAACATTCATACCTCTAATGTGCTTTTTTGCAAAAGTATTTAGGCTAATAAATGTTGCATTTTTTTGATACTTCGGGTCAGCAGGTAACTCTTTGCACTGTTCAGTTCAATATAACTGTCCCACATGATTAGCATTCCAAAATGTTTAAGTGAAAAAGTATTCTAATTTGTAGCTTTCACACCAAAAAGCACTCGCCACTGAAGCTGCCAAATGTCAGATAAGTAGAGCCTTGTGCAGATGCATCCAATCCGCTATCCACAAAAATTATCTGTGGATATCCGCCAGGCTGAGGCTCCAAGGCATCCCCCATGCCTGAGCCCAGTCGGGGACTGCCGTGGGGAGCCCAGGCGAAGTCGCAGATCCTCCACCTGCCCTCGGCCGGGCAGGGAGTCTGGGGGGCGGGGACACAGCCAGGGGCTGTTCTCAGCCTCCCTTCCCTCCCGCACGGGCAGGTGGTGGGTCCGCTGCAGCTCCCCAGCTTGGTTCCACACAGGCCTGGGAGGGGGGAGAGCTGTGGAGATGCCCTGGAGCTGCTCGAGCCCTCTGCCCAGGGCAGGTGGAGGGTCCACCACAGCTCCCCATAGCTGCCTGCCCGACTGTTATCGTGGCATGGCTGGGCTGCGGCTCAGAGCTGCTCCTCTCCCCAGCCGGAACCAGGTCGGAGAGAGTCATGCTGGCAGCTGTGGGGAGCCGTGGCGGAGGTCCTGAGCAGCCCCCTGCAGGTGGAGAGACCCAGGCTCCCAACAGCTGCCAATGCAGCTCTCCTGGACCCAGCTCTGGCCGGGGGGTCAGCGTGGAGCCGCCCACCCGACCACGGTAAGAGCCAAGCAGGCCCCCCACCCAGTGTCCATGCTCCCCAGGACCCCTGCCCAAGACAGATAGATGGATCCGTGCTGTGGTTCCTCACAGCTACCCGCCCGGTTCTTACCATCAGAGCCCTGCGCGGATACAAAATTTGTATCCCCGTCCACGCTGCTATCTGCAGAAATTGTCCACAGATATAAAGCAGATACCCACGGATTTGCAGGTCTCTACAGATAAGAGGACAAAGTCGGATAAGGAGAAATTGTCATCAAGTATTTTAGATCTAAAATGCCGTTTCTCTTGCCTGGGAATTGGAAATCAGTTTTATTTTCATCTTTTGTGAGAATGAAATGACCACAATGTTATGTACCAGTCTTGCAGCCTTTGTTGCAGCAGTTAGCTAATAAATATTATTCCCAGATTTTGCTGACCTAATCGATGCTAGGGCCCAAACAAATCTTTACACATCTCACTATGTGACTTGAAGCTATAGTTAGTAAACAAAATAGCCTTATTAATTTCAGCCATGTTTGAAATACAGGAAAATCAGCATTTGTTTAAAAAAAAATGGAAAATTTATTTTAAAGATAATAAGTGTTACTAAGGAAAAGTGAAACACCCACTACTATTTTAAAAGTATACTTGGCAATGCACCTTTTAAAGATGTAATATAGATCAGAAAAATGTACCGTAACAAAACAATACTGCAATGTGAAACACTAACACAACAATGATTCAAAAGCACTTCTAGAGCTTTGCTGCCAAGATGGTAAGGACTGAATACATTAAGAGATGATTCAATGTCTGGAGGAAGAGTGTAGGCTGCAGCTTTCATTTTCTTAGGATTGAAAGATCCAGAGCTGTGGAACCACTAGAAAGTTTTTTTTAATTAAATTTTATTTCATACAAAAACTGATGTGTTGCAATTATTGACAAGTCTGGAAGCAATATACCACTGACAAAGTGGAATTGGTTGTTTTATTAAATTTAAATATCACTCTTTTTAACTCCAGACATGATTCTTCTGCACTTTTTGGTAAGTGAAGAAGGAATTCTTTCTTGGAAAGAATTTATTAAACCTTTCACTGAGTACTTAAGCATTCTAACTGGATCAGACTTAACAGTTTTAAGTGGCTAGTATTTTTGGGTGTTGAACATGAGTCACTTCGGAGGCCCAATTTTCAGAGTGTATATGCTCAACTTTTTTATCATTCCACTTCAAGATATCCAGTTGGGCACTGAATCATTAGTCTCTTTAGGCAACCCAAAATGTTCATCTATTAACAGGTAGTGGAACTGATTCACTGGGTGTTGTATTTTTCTCCTATGAGGGGCCTGGAAAATCTTCTGTATCTTGACTCACCTTTTTTTTCTGACCTACTTGCCCCTTTCCCATCAAGCAAAGTAATTGTAAAGAGAAAAAGGGTGCATGGTAAGCTGATTTTATGATATAAAATGAACTGTCTTGTTTATACCAGGACTCCAGGGTTCCAGAGTCATTCACTGTATATCACTACAATGGATTGAAGCAGTCTAATTATAATGAAAAGGTATGATGATCTGAGAGAAAATGAATTGGGACCTGCTTAGGAGAAACCAATAATCATGACCATGTGATAGCAGTTCACTGTCTTATGTGAAATGAGTTGATGTCAGTGCCATTCCTTGTGTCCAAATTGCAGAACTGTCACCACATTTGACACTGAACAGTTGGCCAGGTCAAAATTTTTCAGTAGAAACTTGTTTTGCAAAAATTCTCTGCTTTCCACAGAAATTTGATTTTTTTTTTTCCCGTTCCGAAAACCAGAAATATTTCAGTTTGGAAATGCTACCTCATACTCCACTTCTCTTCTATATACCATGCTCTCTGGTCAAACCATATTTACTGTGGTACACCAGTCACACTCTTCCAGAGAGGAGGCAATGCATCATGGGAGATGTAGTCAGACCCAGAGAGGAGAATGGGGTTATGAGACAGATTAACTTAAACTCCCATAAATCACCACAGTGGCATTTCAAAATCAAAATTTCTGGTTCTGGCCAAAAAAAGATATTCAAATTTCTGTCAAATCAAAGATTATTCTTCAAAGGAAAAAACATTTTTCAACCAGTTCTAATTAGCACCTTTGCTATCAGTCTGAGTAGAGATTACAAGGAATGAATAGACAGAGACAACTACCAGTGAGGAGGCCCTTCCAGAAAATGCATTTTGATTCCATCACTATTTAATGCTCGTTGAAATCAGAATAACTGGGATTATAAAGTCACCCAAGGGCACCTAAAGCAGTGACCTGTCTTTCAGAAGTGCTGAGCACCTGCCGCTCCAATTCAGTGCAAGCTCTTGGTGCTCGTCACCTCTGAAAATCGGGCCACTTAATTGGGTGGTTAAATAAATATATTCTGTGTGTGCTTATTCATGAAAACATGAAATAAGGAATATAAGATTTTGTCCATCCTCATTATTAACCCTTATTTTCTTGTGCACAATTGTATTTGTTGTCGATTTCTTTTCATTTGTTCTGTCTATTGACACCTGTGTATATATTAATCCACTCCTCCCTCTTTTCTGTTGCATTTGAATTAAAAATATTCAGATAGTTTATAGTAACATTTACCTATATGAGCAAATGTCAGTGCTATAACTTTAGTGTTTCCATATATAGAAACGCAGACTTTGGTGCACTGAAAGCATTCTGCTTCAAAACTATACTACTACTCATCTGAAAATTTGGTCAAAACATGATTTCTGACTTTCTTGTAAGACTCATGCTATACTATAAGGAAAGATTTGTACATGTTTTGACTGTTGTGCTTTTTCATCTTTTTCTTATCTAAAGCAAATTGAGTTTGTTCAGTGAATGGCCTATTGCCTCAGACTTTTTGCATCATTTAAGTTCTCTATTTTATTTTTCTGCTTTGGCCTTTACTGTCAGTATGTAAACTGCATGAATAATCTATGCCCTGAATAGAAGTTTCAGGCATCAACACCTACCAGTTAAATACTCTGGATCTCATATTTCAATAAATGTGAACTACTTGTATAAAACTTTTAATTTGATTTGAGTTTTTCCTTTTATTATGAAAAGCATGCTTTGTGACAAGTGGCTTCCTACACTGTGAAAACAACATTCTATGTCTATCTGTAAAGGAATTTCAGGAAATATACTGAAGTAAATGGTTTTATTTTGACAGGTCATGTATGTAGAAGGCACAGCAGTTATTATGGGCTTTGAAGATCCAATGCTACAGACTGATGATACTCCAATAAAGCGCTGTTTGCAAACCAAATGGCCATATATAGAATTACTCTGGACCACAGATCGATCTCCTTCATTAAATTGATGTGTTTAGAAGAAATATACTATACTACTATCTAATGCTTTACTGGGGGATTAAGAATTGGCATTTGCTGAAAGCAGTATACTTGACTGTATGAAGCTGTACACTGGTATCATTGATAAATTGTAAATAATGATTACAAACACTTTTCAGTGTTAATTGAAATATTTAATTTTTTTAATCAGATTGATTTCTCTTTATAATAGTTTGTCATTTTTGGTCATTGTGGTAGTATTGTGAGTTCTGTTCTTAAAAAAGCCTACTTATACCATCTAAATTTGCCATCTCATAAAGATTTGAAAAATGTCTAATACTGCAGTATCTGCATGTTAGGTATCAAATTAATCTTTCAACTGTAAAAACATTCAGAAAACATGTTTGCTTCTTGAATCTTTTGGGCACGTTTTGTTATTTAAATTATACTGGCTTACGTTACAGTATCATAATTTGCAGTCTGGACTGGCCTTGCACTGAATGTTTAAATGAGCTTAAACTCTCTGCAATTTTTTCTAAAATTTGGCTCTAACTAAACAACTTTTACAAAAATGGTAAAATTAGGAATAATTTTTAGGCTCTTACTACTTAATATAAACTATAAAAGCCGTTTCGAGGCGGTTGTATATTGCTATGGCTTAGCTATCTGGCATGTTAAAAGTGAAGACAGAGTATGAGGAAAAATAAATGTATTAATATTTATTCAAAGTTGTATAAAGGAAATGTAAAAAATCAACAGCAGGAAGAATTTGTTCTATAATCTTTAAATTGTTCAGATTTATAGTATTGCCAAATACCTCTTCTCAATTTGTCCAAACAACAATGTAAGCCAGCTTTATTGTATGTGTTAAGTGCATGAAAACATCTGTTATTACATGAGTATATGCCTTTATTTATTATCTAGTTGTTAGCCCTAAATAAAACCTTTTCCCTGAACTATGACCTAGTACTTGCAAGTTTGTTTTTTCAATCTGACCTGTTTACTTCCTCTTCAATTTCTTTTTATTGAAAAAAATAACTGGATAGTAGAGGAGCTAAAAATGGACAATTTTTGAAGTAGAGTGATCTCTTGAGGATATAAACACAAGTTAAAGATAACTAAAGGATCACTTTCGTGCAGTTGATCCACTTAAACTTGCTGTTCACAGACCATAAATGCATAGTGTATATTAATATCAAGAGGGCTAAGAATTCATGTTTAGAAATGTATTTTCTCTACAATGTTTAGGTGGGGATACTTTCTTTTTATGTATAAATAACAGCATGAGTTAGCTTGTTTCCCCATTAAGCAGACCTGTGTTGTTTGAATTGTCAGAACAAAATCTAACAAAACACCTGTATATTGCAGTATTTTCAGTGTAAGTTATGTAGTAATCGCAGACAGAAATAACAAGCTTGTTTGCATGGCATTTTCAGTTATAGCCTCTGTATAAGCATAGAACCATCTACAAATTTACATTTGGAAAACGTCAGCAATGACGTGCTACTCTTGGCTACATCCACATATTCATTCTGAACACTTAACTCTGTAATTAACATTGCTCCTGAGTGCAAAATTGACAGCACCGAGAGTATCTCAGTTTCAAAAACCAAGGAAATAAGGCAGAATTATATTTTCCTGAAAAATTATCTTCTCATGGTCAGTAACAATTTGAGAACTTTTTAAAAAATAGCCTTTCATGTATCTAGACCCAAGGTTAAAATGTCCATTTATCTGATTCAAATTAGAACATGAATATTTTTCACATGTTAACCTGATCACATAAATGGGAATAGCTGTAATGCATGCCCTCTCTAGCCGTGAAGCCATCTTCCACCCAGCTTAAGTGGTCTGGCACACCCTGGCTTTCTGTGCCCCTACCCTGAATCAGGCGGAGTGCCACTACTTCATGCCATCTAAGGGTACGGACTTCTTGTTTACCCACCCGCCCCCCAACTTGCTCGTGTTTCACATGGTGACCGAGTAAGCCTGACAGCAACACCTCAAGGCCACCCCTCCTGATCAGGTGATGAAGAAATTTGACCTTCTGGGGTGCAAGATCTACTCCTCTTCAGACCTCCAGTTATTCATTGGCAGCTACCAGACCATCCTGGTGAAGTACGACTTCCTCATTAATCCAAGTTGGAGGAGTTCCAGGCCTTTCTCCCGCCAGTGCAACAGCAGGCTTCTCAGACCCTACTGGATGAGGTCAAGCTAGTTGCCAAAGTGGCCCTCCAAGCCGCGGTTGACACTGTGTCACACGCTCTGGCATTTGGGATGGTGCTCCACCAGGATTCCTGGCTTCAATCCTCCAGCTTTCCCAAGGAGGTCCAGACCGCCCTAGACCTCCCCTTTGACAGCCACAAACTTCATTGATGAAACGGACAAGTTCCCTCCACTCTCTTAAGGACTCCTGTGCTGCCCTCCGGTCGCTCAGAATCTACACCCTGGCCCCAACTTGCCAGCAGCAGTGGTCGCCCTTCTGACCTCACCCTCACACTGCCTACCAGCCCTACCCTCAACACCTGCAAGATCCGTATCGCTGGCGCCCGTGCACATAGTGACCTCGCTACTCTGCCGCTGCCACCACCTCCACCTTCCCGCAATGTCCATCCTAGCAATCCTTTTGATTCTTCCCCCAAGAGCCAAGCCACTCCACCCCTTCTGCAGCACCTCATATTGTTTTGGGGCGAAGTCTTGCCCTGTTTGCCACATTTGGAGCAAGATCACCACTGGGTGCTGGATGTTGTTCACCAATTGAGTTCCTCTACTTGTCGCCCACCCCATGGTGGCCCTGGGGATCCTTCCCAGTGCGATCTCCGAGAGGAAGCGGACACCCTCCCCTAGAAGGGTGCCATGGAATGCGTCCTGCACTACCATGGCCATGGCTTCTACTAACCTTATTTCCTTGTGCAAAGAAGAGGGGTGGCCACTGTCCCATTCTGGATGTCTGGTCGCTGAACAAATTCATATGCAAATTCCACTTTTGGATGATCATGCTCCCCCTCATAATCCTGTCCCACCCCCATCGAGGCTGGTTCTCCGCCCTTGATATGAAGGATGCATATTTTCATATAGACATCCACCCCACTCATCGCAACTTCCTCCACTTCATGGTGGGACACTCCCACTACCAGTTTTGCATCCTCCCCTTTGGGACCGCCACTGCTCCCTGCATCTTCGTGGTCGTAGTGGCCTACGTGCGCTCTCTAGACCACTCACTATTCCCCTACCTAGATGACTGGCTCCTCATTACACCATCTCATGACCGCCTCCTCGCCACTATTCCAGACCCTCTGTGACCTCCTTGCCAGCCTGGGGATCTGCATCAATAACGACAGGTATGTTCTTGTCCCTACCCGCAATCTCACCTTCATAGGGGCACACCTGGACTCCCTTGCATCCCGAGCCTTTCTCCTATCAGATCAATTCACCATGCTCACCCCGCACCTACACCGCCATCTGCATATTCACATCCTGCAGTGCCTCTCCCTCCTTGGCCACATAGCAGTCTGCACCTTGGGCACACCGTATGCCCGCCTGCATATGCACTGCCTCCACCTGTCTCCAGTCGGTCTACAACCCAGTTGGAGCACCTGAACAAGCCAGCCCTCATCTCCATCTCCATCCTGGCTTCCCTCCCCTGCTGGTGGAACCCATCCATGATCCTGGCTGGCACTCCATTCGCTCCCCCTATGTCCCACACCGCTTTCACCAGGGACGCCTCACTCATGGGGTAGGGCACCCACCTGGAGGGCCACACAGCCCAGGGCCTCTGGTTGCCCAGGGAAGTACAGATGCATATCAACATCCTGGAACTGCAGGCCACCTGCCTTGCTTGTCAGACATTCCTGCCCCCATCAGATCCTGCCACATTCAACAGCTCTCTGACAACTTGAAAGCGGTTGTATATGTCAATAAGCAGGGTGGGGTCTGGTCCCCCTCCCTCTGTATGGAAGTCATCCTCTGGAACTGGTGCCTCAGGCATGGGTCACCCTCTACACCGTGCACCTCCCAGGCACCAGCAATTCTACACGTTCAGCAGGTCCTTTTATGCAAATCCTGAGTGGAAGTTCCAGGACCTCACACTTCACTCAGTCTTTCGCCAGGGGACACTCTGTACCTTGAAGCAGCACTCTGGAACCCCCATATTCACCCCTGTCATAATAGATATATTTCATACAAAGCATACCATGTAAGATATCACATGAAAGTTCATGATTTGCTGAAACCCATTGTTCTGTCTAGATATGTATATCGTTCGTGTGTATGAAGTTAAGATTTTGCTGTATGGTTGTTACAACGTATTTCACTAAGTTTGAGAGTCTCTGCTGCTAGTTCCTCAGTGATGAGAAGGGTGGTGATTCACTCCCAGGAGAGTGTTCAGTGATTATTAATCAGCAGGGGAGTTGTAAACAAGGGATTTACAGTTCTAAGAGAAGTACCACACAATGGGGAATTCTCAACTCTGTGACTCAGCAGAGCCCACCAGGACATGTCTGGGTAAGTTTCTTTCCAGGGACTGCAGATATCAAACAGCATCATGCTCTTACCTTTCTCCTCCCCCACCTACTCTGAAAGAAACAAGAATTCTGGGAAGACAACAACTTGAACTGAGGAGACTAGTCCCAGGCTTAAAGGAGAAGCCTGTGTATTAAGAACTGTAACCTACCTGCAACATCAAAACTGTTTGATCCAAATACTGCCTAGTCTAACAAGGTTTAAGATTTATACTGTGTGCTTACCTTTTATTTTCTTTGGTAACTATCTCTGACCTTTTGTGCCTACCCCTTATAATCACTTAAAAGCTATCTTTCTGTAGTTAATAAATCTGTTTTTATATTTTACCTAAAACAATGTGTTTCGGTTGACTTGCTTGGGAAATCTCAGCTCAATTTACAAAGGCTAGTGTGTGTCCTCTCCACATCAAGGGGTGCGGGGGTGGACTAGGTAATAAACTTACATTGGTCACGCTTCTGACCAGGCCAAGACAGTACTGTTTTGGGGTGCAGATTGTACCCCGGGGATCCCATCACAGGCACACCACACTGGGATCTCTTCACAAGGGCCAAGAACCACAAACTTCCCCTCTTCTGCTCCACAGGAGCCCTCGGGCCAGGCTCACAGGGCGATGTCTTTCTCCTTCCCTGGATCACCAAACATTGCTATGCCTTCCCACCCATTCCCTTGCTCCCGCAAGTCCTGCGCAAGATACAGCAGGATCACGCAACAGTCATTCTTATAGCTCCCTCCTGGCGTCGCCAGTATTGGTTCACCGATCTCCTTCACCTCTCCGCTTGCCCCCCCGTTGGTCTTCCCACCCTCCCAGATCTCCTCTCACAGGCTCATGGCTGTCTGTGGCACCCAACCCAGGCCCACTCCACCTCACGGCCTAGGTATTTGAATGGGGTTCACTTATAGACAGGGCATGCTCTGCCCCCATGCATAACATCCTCACTCACAGCAGATGGCCATCTACTAGAGCCTGCTACCAAGCTAAATGGCTATCCTTCATTACCTCTGTACACCATCACTGCTACCCTCTGGACTCAGTCTCCATTCCCATCCTCCTGGACTACATCCTCCACCTTCGACAGTTGCGCCTCACCTGCTCCTCCATCCACGTCCACCTGGCAGCACTCAGTGACTTCCTCCCTGCTGTGGATGGGTTGTCTGTCTTCACTTACATGATTACCGCCCACTTTCTTCATGGCCTCCTCAACGCCTTCCCATCCATGTGGAAGCCTATCTCCTCTTGGGACCTGAATCTCCTCTTCTCCGCCCTCACTAAACCACCCTTCAAACCCTTTGCAGCCTGCTCTCTTGCCCATCTCTCCATGAAGGTGGTAATCTTGGTGGCCATCACCTGGGCGAGATGGGTTAACGAGCTGGTGGCCATGACGGCCGTCCTGCCCTTTACTGTCTACCACAAAGACAAGGTCTCCCTGTGCCTGCCCCCCCC